TTTAGCTTCTCAGTGCAGTGCTTTAACCCGCTGCGCCACCAGGGAGGGCCCTGAATTTCCTGGTTTTATGGAAACATTTCTAGCTCCTCTCTCTTGCTACCACCATTTCCAGTCTTCAAGGCCAGGGCTCTTGTGCTCTGCTCTCCCACCTCTAAAGCCCGTTGTTCACTCTCAGAGCCCTTGCCTGGTTCAGGTCCCACCTCTGCCAGCCAGGCTGTTCCTGCTCCTCTGTTCTTCAACCCATCATTCTTCCAGGTGCAAGGGCTCTCCTTCAATCTGCTTCTTTCTGTCTCTGTCTTATCTCCCCTCGCTGCTCCTCTGCCTGCCTACCCCCATTGCCTGTGGAGTAAAGGGAGCTGCAGGCTCCTTGTTTTCTCTTTCCTTGGTTTTTCCCAATGTGATTTACCAACACTGCTCACCATGACCCAACTGGCGAGTGCTTTCCCACAAAAAATCACCTAATAGGGCCTCTGTGGAGGCTCAGGGGGTTAAGTCTCAGCACTATAAAGCTATTGGCAGCCACTGCAGTGCAAATTTGAATTCAGTCCCAGGCCAATGAGCTGACCCACATGGCGCAGTAGACCTCTCCTGTCTCACCCGCTGTTCCCCTCAGCTGTGTATTTCAGTCTGATTTGTTCTGTTCCCCACTCTGTCTCTGGTGAGTCCTCTCACCCCCACCCCCACCTCTGGCCTGTACCCCAATTCTTGGATGCATAAATAAAATAAATCTTTAGAAAGTAAAAAAAAAAAAAAACCAAAAAACCAAAAAAAAAAAACACCTAACACAGACTGCTGTCAATCAAGGAGGTCTTAATTCTTCACTTTACACAAGGAAGCAAAGGTAAAAAGCTTTAAATTACTTGCTTTAACTCCTCACTTCCCATTAGAACTGGAGGCAGGGTCCAAAGACTTTGCCTTGAGGACAGGCAGTTATCAGTTATGGCATCTGCTTTGTCTTTCAGATGAGGCCTTAAATCCCTCAGGCCAGTCTGAGACATGTTTTAAGCTTTTTCCTCATAGCAGCTAACTCAGACTCCCAAAAATCTAGCAAACAAAGATGCTCATTTGCTACGCAGCAGGAGACATTCATGCGGTTTGAAAAAATAGCTTCCTCCAAAGGAGAGATGGCATCCAGGCAACACCGGGGAGAAAATGAACTTGAGAGTGTGCAGGAATCAGCATGGGAGCGGACCCACCCCGCATTCCTAGAAGCTTACCTTTCTCTTTCATACCTGTTATCACATTTGATCCTACCTACAAATACTCTTTGAGGTAGGTGCAGATTTATAGATAAGGAAGTGTTCTTACTGCAAAATATAAAAAATTAAAAGACAGAGAAATATATATTTCAATATATAAATATATATCTATGTAATATATGTTACATGCATGTAACGGATATACTAGCTATATACTTTACATATATCTATAAATATACATATGTTTGTATATATTTATATAAATACACATTTTTACAAGTATTGCTTATTTAAAATATTTCAGTATATTATAGAATAGAGTCAAGGGAATTTTTTTACAAGCATGATACAATGAATTTAGCAATCTCTTAATTCATTTTTTATGAATTAAGTTCCTGGTACCTCTATCATTGGTTGAGTGAGCTTGAGTAAGTTGTTTTGCTTGCCTGAGACTCAGTTTCTTCATTTGTACACCAGAGATATAAGTGGTGCCTCATTCATAGGGTTATTGTGAGGAATTAAGGGAACAGCATGGACAGCATCTGATTCATCACAAAAACCCCACATGTGCTAGATTTTCTTAGCTTCACAGAACAGGAACTCCAGCCAGAGCCAGAGGACTGATGGACATCAAATAATTCAAACCCTAAGACCTGACAATGTGTAATTAAGTGTTGACTATGTACATAATGCTGCAAAGGACCAACAGAAAGGGTGGGCTGTGTTTGATGGGGTGCCCACTGGCGATGTCCTCTGACTTCCGCCACTGTGGGTGGGACTGCCCAAGGGGCCCAGAATCCAGAGACTATTGTTCTCAGGAGTCACAAAAACAAAAAAATAGACACCAATTTCTCTATCTTTAAACAGGAGATTATTGCTGAAAAATGAAATTAGTTTAGATTTCCCCTTCCAGCTGGGAACCCAAGCAATGCTGTTTAATGTTAGACTGCAAGAGAAAGTAAAGAATGCCCTTGCGTTGTGGAAAATAAGGGACATACACAATGTAAACAGAGGGACTAGGTGAACTGGATTTAAACATACTTCCAGTCTCAGAGTCTAAGGAGTTTCAAGTGTCCCAGAATGCGGCTGGAGAGTGTGTGTTTGGGGAATGACAGGGGAGTAACACCGTAATTGAAATTCTTCCCTTCCCCTCCCAAACCTATTACGCCAGGAATTTGTCTCAAGGCAGACTCCTCTTCCCAGCTGTTTACTTTTTCCTTAGTCCCTCCATCTCGTGGCTTCCAAGTCTGACTCCCCCAAGAAGTGCTGCATTCTCAAAGAGCTTTTGGGGTGAATCCATGTCTCAGCCCTGGCCATTGAGGTCTCTATCACGATTCCGCTGTACTTCCTCTTTCCTTAGCAAAACTCTATCCCTCTCCCCCACCCCCACCAATCTTCTCTCCCTCACTTTGCTCCATCTTCACTCCTCATTCTGACCATCCAGCATGAACTGGCTCTCAGCTCACACACAGGGGCCCTCTCCTGCCTGTGGCACACCCCTTTCACCATGCAGAAGATACTTCTTAGTATGAAAGTATAAATGACGCCATTGATTTTGACGGTTTGGAATTCTCTCTGGTTTCTTTTTGTTAAGTTAAATGATGGGGAAGATTTGGAAAGTGAAGCTCAACCTTTGCCCTGGGTATTGAAAGCTCGACACTGATTCAAGTAGTGTCCTGATAATGCCCTCTGCTCTTTCAGTCGTACTCAGCAATATCTCCTGTCTCTGATATCCTGAGTCACACCTTGTCCCTTTAGGACCTTCTCCAGCCTGCCCCGTCCACTGCCCCACACTAAAACTCTGGTTTTGCTGACAAGCCTGTTGGCTAGAAAAGGGAGCCTGATTTGCAGTAAGTCCTAGGTTTGTCTGACGTCAAGTATCCTATTGTAAACTACCATAGTCTGAATCTTGCTCTCTCCACAGAAAGCCAGCTGACCTACACAACCTGGCCCCTGGTGCCCATCCGCCCTTCCTGACCTTCAACGGGGAAGTGAAGACAGATGTCAATAAGATCGAGGAATTCCTGGAGGAGACTTTGACCCCTGAAAAGTAATGAACTGCTTGTTTTTTCAGAGCCAGTGTTAGGGAAGGGCCTGTGTTGGGGGTGAAAAAACATAGTGTTGGCTGTGAGAAGGCCGGTGTGCAAAGAAGCCTCTTCAATCTAGCATGTAGGATCCTCTTTTCATAGGATCCAGGACACCCCTCCCCACTTCCAGAGGGCTGCTAATATCAAAACTACTTCATAATGTCCAATTCCAAGAGAAGATGGCCCTATGAAGGGGGCTACTTTCTCCTAGAGAGTGAATTAGGGCACTCCCTGTTGGTGCAACAGGTTAAAGCATAGCACTGCGAAGCAATCTGCAGTCACGATAGCACAAATTCGATTCCCGGCTAGGGAGCTGACCCACAGGGCGCAGCAGACCTCTCCTGTCTCACCCGCTGCTCCCTTCAGCAGTGTATTTCAGTAGATCTGCCTGTTCTGCTCCCCACTCTGTCTCTGGTGAATCCTTTCACCCTTTGTAGCTCTGGCTTGTACCCCAGCTTGTATGCATAAATAAATAACATCTTTTTTTTTTTTTTTTTAAGAGAGTGAATTAGGAAAGTTGCTACCCCACTAACCCTCTAAACAAGACTCCTTTTCAGTTCATTGGCCTGGAAGACCTCTTGGTGGGGTAAAGCCTGCCTCAGGTCAGAGGAGAACTGAAAGGCTGATGGAATGAAAATGAGGCAGGTGAGAAGTAATCCCTGGCTTACCATCGCACCAAGGCATGACTAAGAGTCATCAACCTGACTATGGCAGGTGGGGGCCCATGATATAACGGATGAAAAAGCTAAAATTGGCCCCTCTTCTAAAATGAGCACAGGGAGGGGAGAGTCTAGAGGGGCTGGAGCTTCCCATTGGATAGATAAGCCGCAATGGATAGATAGACCGTAGGAATAGAGAGAAAAGAGAATTCTAAATTTTAGTGGAAACTAGTCTTGTTCATTAAACTACATTGTAATTGGAGATTAAAGCAGTCACATTAAAAAAAAAAACTAGGGAAAATATTACAAGATCTGCATAGACTTTATCCTGTAGAGGATGGCCACTGAAAAGATCTTTTAACTTTATTTTCATTTATTTATGCATACAAGAATTTTGGTGTAGGCTAGAGATGCAGGGAGTAAGAGAATTCTCCAGAGGCAGAGTGGGAAACAGAAAACAGGTGAAGCTACTGAAATACACTGCTAGGGGCGCAGCGGGTGGGTCAGGAGAGAGTCTGCTCCCTGACTGTGGATTAAACTCAGGCCGAAGTGGCTGGCCACAAATTGATAACACTGAGACTTCACTCCTATGCCATCAGGGAAGCCCCAGCCACCGATAAGTTTTAAGAAAGGAGTTGGAGAGTCAGCTTACACACTTTGTTCAATGGGGGAAATAAGAAGAGCAGAGGATGGACAAGGTGAAGGTGGAAAAGTCACCTGGAGATAGTATAGGCAGGATGGGCAGGAGGGCTTACCTAAGGCAGTGACGGCGAGACTGGGGCCTGGTGCAGGAGGAAGGATTTAGGACATGGGAGGTAACATCAGTGAGACTTGACTACTAAAACCCACTCTTGCATTATTTATTAACACTCCCCCTTCACATACACAACCTTCAAGTACCCTCGAAGGTAAGTGCTACTATTTTCCTCAGTTTACAGTTGGGGAAACTGAGGCATTGACTCTCTTATTGAAGGTACACATCTAGCAAATTGCTATTAAATTAAAAATTAGAGGCCCTCTCTGGTGGCACAGTGTGTTAAAGCACAGCAGTAAGAAGCTAAAGCCCCTTCAGCATGAGTTTGAACCCCGCCCGCCCCGGAGGTGACTCACATGGCGCGGCAGACCTCTCCTGACCTGCCCGCTGCTCCCTTCAGCAGAGTACTTCATCAATCTGCCTGTTCTGCTCCCCTCTCTGTCTCTGGTGAGTCCTCTCACCACCCCTGCACCTCTGGCCTGTACCCCAGTTCTGTATGCATAAATAAATGTTAAAAACAATTTTTTTTAATTAGATTGAAATTTCCAGCCAAACTCTGATTAGGCCTGGGCCATTTATATATTCTTATTGGCAAGTATTTTCCCATTCCACACTAGGATGGCTTATTTCCCCACTGAAAATAGAAAGCTGTCCCAAGCCCACTAGAAGTTGCTGAGCTTGCAGACTTTAAATAAGTACGTTGATTTTTTCTGTTCCTCTGTTTTGTTTTTCTCTATTCCGCATATGAGTGAAATCAACCAAAACAAACTCTAGAAGTCTGACTGCTGTATTGAAGCTTCCAGCAGGGAGTGTAGGGGTAAGAGGGGCCCGTGGGACTAGGGTAGAGGACTGTGGGTCCCTGGGTGGGGGCATGATGTGGTAACAGACAACTGAAGACCTGTACTCCTATACTGTTGACTTATATATAGCATAATACACCAACATAACCTCAATAAAAAAAAAATTGCTAGCTAAATAAACGCATTAACCAAATCAGCTGCACAGCCCCACCTGTAACACCCAACACAGCCACCACCACACACAACTCCTAACAGGGCACCAGTTGCATTGCTGAAAGGATTCTGAGGCACTCAGATTCCCTCCCACGCCCCCAGGGTCTCATCTCTTTGCTGGCACTGGTTTGAAATACCACATGAGAAAATAAATGATGTTTTCGGTAACGATCGTTTAAACCTGATCTGAGAGATCCACAAGGGAAATTCCCAGATGAGGCTAACATTTTCCCTGTTAGAAGTGGTACTTGCCCCCAGGGAGAACTGCTTCTGTCACAACCACCAGGGAATGGAAAATGGGAGCAGTGAGGAGCTGAGTGTCACACCTGGCCCTCTACCAGGCCGGTGGATGGAGCTCCGAGCTCTGCTGGCGATTTGCTGCAACCTGGCAGCCCTGCTTCATCTTCCTCTTGGCCCCAGGGGCCACCCCCAAGAGAGACCTCCCCCAAGAAAGCACTTGCACCTCAGCCAGACTCCCTCTGCTCCCAATCCAGCTTTTCTCTCCTTGCCTGGCTGTTTCTCCAGTGCAGGTGTCTCCAATCCACGTCCACACTGGAGTTAGTGGGGCCCCTGAGACTCCTGGGATGGTCTGCCCCTCATGTTCCAATCCCCTCATGTTCAATACATTCTTTTAGAGGGGGACCATCATCAGATTCATCGTAATCGTTCTTTTTTATTGATTGATTGGCTTATGCATACAGGAACTGCGGTACAGATCAGAGATGCAGAGGATTTACCAGAGGCAGAGTGGGGAGCAGAACAGGCAGATGGACTGAAATACACTGCTGAGGGGAGCATCGGGCAGCATCGGGCAGGTCAGGAGAGGTCTCCTGAGCATGTGGGTCCGCTCCTTGGTCGGAGATCGAACTCAAACTCGTGCTGAAGTGGTTAGGCAAGCTTCTCAGTGTTGTGCTTTAACCCTTTGTTCCACCAGGGAGGGCCCTATCCTGAAAGGTTTTTGTGATCCAAAGAGAGTTAATCTGTTTGCAGAAATTTGCTCCTTCCTTCCTGTTGTGCCCATATCACCTGCCCAGAACTCTGCTTCCTCTGCCCCTGTCCTTTCCTAGGATGCAGTAGGGCGTAGGAGCTTTTACTAAGTATGATCCTGTTGTGACAGTGACCCTATTATCCATTATCCACAACCTCAAAACTATTAAAATGCAGGTCTCAGGAAGGCAATGAGGTGGAGACTCTCTCTATTCATGAGCCCACCAGCTATTCTGTACCCCCAGAAGTGTTCCAGATGCTTTTGCATGGGACAGACAAAGGCAGGTGCCACAGTGGTCTTCCCATTAGTGTCACCAATTCTGGGGCCCAGTCCTGTAACCAGAGACCTACTGTTCTGTCCACAAGCCACCAGTCTCCCCTGGCCTCTCACTAAAGAGTGCCGAGAGGTCTGGGACTGAGTCCCAAGGCCCTGAAGAGAGAGCCTGACCTTCTGGATCTCTAGGGGGCAGCAAAACTCCCCATAACTGTTCACAGAACACTAGTCGGCCATGTGTTTCTCATCACACTGCTGTTTGTAAAAGCTGCCAGAGAGCCAAGAAATTGTGGGAGCCTTTCCCCCCTTAGCTTTATATTTTAAAGAAAAAATAAAACCACATACAAATACTCCAACAATTTTTTAAAAATCACATTTGGTCCCACAAAGCATTTGGTGTCAAAAAGAGGAATCCAGGAAGTCTCAAGTAGTTTCTAAACGAAACAAACTTCCATCTCATTCCTCAGACTGACCCCATAACACCCAGCAGGAAGGCTTGGGGTTAGTGCTGGGATGACTGGGAGGTTTGGAGCAAGCTTCACAGAATGACCACTATTAACAGGGTGTGGAACTGAGCACCAGGAGGCCTGAATCTGGCCACTTTCCTACTGGCTCTGTCACATAACCTTGGCAAACCTCTCATCCTCTCCATCTCCTGATCGCTAAAGTCCTGTCATCCTATGAATTTCTCCAAGTGTTTTTCCAGAGCTGGTTGTTTGAATAAATAAGTCAAGTATATATCGATGAGATGATAGAAATCAGGAGGGGAAGTTGGTGGTATAATGTAATGAAGTGCAACTCATTATTTTATTAAAGGCCCAAAGATACCTCACTCTACAAAAATATAAGGTTTTAAAAAATCTTCTAGAAGGTAGGGAAATAGTCTCAATACCTCCAGGAGGATGGCTGAGCTTATGAGGCTTGCAGCAACATGACGTGGGCTTTCATCTGTGTCACTAGCTTGTGCTACTCTGTCCTGATTAGTCCTAAATGTCAGTAATTAACAGAATAGGGGTTTACTTTTCATTCAAGCAAAATCTGAGTGGGTAGTATGGCCTGTTTCCAACAGGTAGCTTTTGAAATATACATCTATCCAAGGTTCCTAAGCAGGGAAGGAGAGGATCATGCAAAGTGTTTTATGGGCCAGCGCTGTCAGGGTTTACTTCCCCTCCCATCCTATTCTCCAAAATCTAGCCATGTGACCCCCACCTAACTGAGAAATGCACATGGGTATGAAAGCCTGAGTGCTTTCTGCTATCGCAAAAAATGTTTTTAATCTCTCATCTTTATTTTTTTTAAAGATTTATTTATATTTATGCATACAGAACTGGGGTACAGGCCAGAGCTGCAGGGGTGATGAGAGGATTCACCAGAGACAGAGCAGACAGGGAGAAGAACAGGAAGATTGGTGAAGTACACTGCTGAGGGGAGGAGCGGGCGGGTCAGGAGAGATCTGCTGTGCCATGTGGGTCACTTCCAGGTCGAAATCAACTCGTGCTGAAGTGGCTTTTGCTTCTTAGTGCTGTGCTTTAACCCGCTGCACCACCAGGGAGGGCCCTAATCTCTCATCTTTAATTCTCACATCTATAACATGATGACCGGAATGGTGACCTCACACGGCTATCCTGGAAAATAACTCAAGTTAGCCGAGGGCCTGGCATGGAGTCAGAGCTCTTCAAATGGCAGCTTGAAGAGTTAGAGGGATCTGTATCCCTTTGTGGAGTGTCGCCCAGCTGCAATCACAAAGACAGCTGGTCACCCATAGGTCTAAAACCACAGACCTCAAGGAATGTCTTTTCATGAGTAAGTCAGACCCTATCCACCTCCAAGTAGCAGTTGCTTGAGTAGCGAGACAAGATAAGCAAGAGCATGATTGAGGATCAGGACAGTTGGGAGCATTAATACCTCCTCAAGGGAGGGTTGGTGAGTTGAGGGAGCAGGAATAATGGAGAAGGGAGAGGGAGATGTCCTTCACTCTGAAGCTCATTAGAAAAGGAGGGTCAGCTCCTCCCTGGTGGCACAGCTGGCTAAAGCGCAGCACTGCAAGCAAGCCACAGCTGCTTCAGTACCAGATCGATCCCGACCCGGGAGTTGACCGGGGTGGCAGACCTCTCCTGTATCACGATCCTGCTGATCCCCTCAGCAATATACTTCATCCATCTGCCTGTTCTGCTCCCCACTCTGTCTCTGGTGAATCCTCTAACCTCCACTGAACCTCTTGCCTGTATGCATAAATAAATAAATCTTTATCAAAATTTTATAAAAAGAAAAGGAGGGTCAACATTCAAGCGATCAGGAGATCCCCTAGTTTCAACCAAGGTCACTTCCTCAGGCGGGAGAACTGTCTTTTTCACCAGTGCATCCCAATGCCATGGCCTGACCTGTGGTTGGTTGGGCCTAATGTGTCTTGATTTCATCAAGACTGACTGCCATCATTCTGTGCACTGGTGGTTTATGACTAATCTGTGACAAGTCAATTTGGATGATAAGCCTATTAGAACACTATCTGCAATACTATTTTATTATTCTGCTACCATTTGCAGATACATATTTGTGCATTTTTTTTTTGGATGTGAGGCTAATTGTTTTACTTCTTAGAATGAAACATAACTGCAGAACTATGATCACTACATTTAAAAGAAGCTATTTAAAAATAAAATGTAAAGAAGTTTTCATCAGTTAGAGGAGAGGTCAGCACACATTTCTGCAAAAGGCCAGATAATAAATATTTTTGATTCTGTATAACAGCTATACTGTTGTAGCATGAAAGCAGTCACAGACACTCTGTAAACGATCAGACTTGACTCTGTTTTAATTTAACTGTGTGTAAATACTGAAATTTTGAATTTTATCTTATTTTCATAATCAAACATTTTTTTCTCAATTGTTTTTATCTCATGAGCTGAATATAAATAGATGTTGGGCTGGATTTGGTTTCTGGCTCATCATTTGCTAACTCCTGAGTTAGAGACATTTACCATCTCTTTAATTGCTATCAGATCACATCACAATCATCTTGAAAGATGTTTCTATAAACTACTATTTGCCAGCCTGTTAGAGCAACAGAATGCACTCTAAAATTTTGCATATTTTAAATAAAGTGTAAATATGGAGCTAAAATAATGCACTTATCACCAGCTACTTACCAACCAAATGTGACCAAGATTAATGTTTGAAGATCTATTTCCCACAAGGACAAATTTCTAGTGGGACACTGTGTCATACAGGAACGTCTCAGCAAGCCTCAGTATTGAGAAACTAGGGGAGCAGCATTCCGTTTTCCTGGACACGTGACTCTTTGCTCTCTGTCTCAGATCTAATACCCCACTCACATTTGGCCTGCCTTGATTGTGAGGAAATGGTCAAATTGCTGGGTATCTGATTAAAAAAAAAAAATTGCATAATGTAAAAAAAAAAAAAGAATCAAATGAACATGCACTTTTGGGACATTTTCTCTTTAAACTCTTACCTTAGCAAACAAAAACAAAGAGACCTTGGTATTTATTAATAATACCTTGAGGCAATCAATTTTAAGAACAGGCCAGATTCTAAGTGAGAAGCTCAAAATAAGAAGGAACAATTCTAAATTCCAGTGTCTTGGCAGATTGAGCAGCATCTTGCCAGAAATCTTGTTTTGTGATTCCAGTCAGAGCCCATGAAATTTCCTAATACCCAGTATCCTCGGGAAGAGTGTGTGCAGAATCTGTGCAGAGTGCCCCCTACTGGTGGTTGGAGAAAGTTCACCCATGGCACTCAGCCTGTTCCAGCCAGGGTATGAGGGCTTGGAGAGTTAACAGCTGAGTCAGTGAGAGACCATAGCATAGACCTTCACAGCTAAGTGAACCACCCAGGTTTGGAATCCTGGCTCTGCCATCTATCCACATGACCTTTAAGAAATTGCTTATCTTCTCTGTACCTCATTTTTCTCATGTGGCAAATAACAGTACAGTTTTGAGGAATAATTGATAAATACATGTAAAGGCCTAGTACAGTGCCTGCTAAACAATAAAAAGCTCTCAAAACAATTAACTTTTGCTGATAACAGTGAAGTGAAGACCTAGGAGGAAGAATCTAGGTTCTTATGGTCCCTCATATTTTGCTGGTTATTTATTATCTGTAGGCCCATAAATAGCTATGGTATCTCTGGCCTCCATATATAAAATGAAGAAGACAGTGCCTCTGTGACTACCTGAGAATAGAGGGCTGGACTCAGTGATCTCCTGAGGACTTTTCCAATGACAAAATCTTACAGCCAGTTAGAAGGGCCCAAGACTGGATGGTCATAGTTCATGGGCCAGTTGAAGAGCCAAAGAATGAAAGCTAACAACCTTTAAAAAAAAAAAAAGATTTATCTATTTATGCATACAGAGCTGGGGTACAGGCCGGAGGTGCAGGGGCAGTGAGAGGCTTCACCAGAGACAGAGTAGGGAGCAGAACAGGTAGATCAAGCAGCAGGTGGGTCAGGAGAAGTCTGCCGTGCCATGTGGCAGGGATCGAACTCATGCAGAAGTGGCTTTAGCTTCTTAGTGCTGTGCTTTATCCCACTGCGCCACTAGGGAGAGTGGGCTAACAACCTATTTTTAAAATCTTTTTACTCAAATCATTTAAAATATGAAAATAACCCCCCCTTCTGCACCAAGAATTATTTATCTGGAGATCATAATATACCACATCAGGGATAATGATAGCTCAGCAATGGCCTGTACCTCCTCCCACCCCTGCCTAGCCATAAATGGAAAGTGTTTTTTTAAACACATGGAAATAGCATTTTTTTTCTTTTATGATTGATTTATTTATGCATACAGAACTGGGGTACAGGCCAGAGGTGCGGGGGGGCAGTGAGAGGCTTCATCAGAGACAGACTGGGGAACAGAACAGGCAGACTGAGGAGGTACATGCTGAGGGGAGCAGCAGGTAGGTCACAAGTGGTCTGCTGTGCCACGTGGGTCACCTCAGGGGCTGGGAATTGAACTAGCACTGAGGTGGCTGTGGCTAGCTTGCAATGCTATGCTTTAGCCTGCTGCGCCACCAGGGAGGGCCTGAAAATGTTTTTTTAAAAAGCCGGTATTGCTCATTAGAGTGGGGCTAAGGGGATCAAAGTGATGGGTCTTTACACAAACAGGTTTACCTCATTCAGCCTCAGGGTAATAGAAAATAGTCCCACTGCCAGTCTGTCTCTTACAGTCTTCTGATTCAACATGAGATGGTGCAAGAGTGTGGGCTAGACTGAGGCACATCCATCTGCATGCCTGTAAATCAAGCAACTGAAAACACTTGTCTTGCTGATGTCCTGTGTCCTGATGTTGCACACAGATAAGAAGTACATGCAAAGAATATTTCAGAAGAGGACACTTTCTTTTGAGAAATGGCTTCGAGGCCTCTGTGCCGAGATGCCCAGTGCCTTCTCACTCCCCGATTTAGCTCTGCGCAGCTAAGATTACACTGGTAGTCCTGGCAAGAGGGCAGTTATTTAAATGTGGGTTGGGAAAATGCCTGAGATAGAGGCAAACTCCTTCCAAATTTTGATTAGAACCTTTTCATTGTAGCATCATTGTTGGTGGTCTGGGTAAGAGCCATGTCCTGGACCCTCCGAATGGCATTCTGGTTCCCTGCCCGGGACCCTACCCCCAGGCAGCTCTCCAACCTCTCTGGCCTCTGTTTTAGGCTATCGGGAAGCCAAGGCTGGCAGGTCTCATGCCTCCCATATGGTGGGGTTGTAGATCCAGCGAGAATAGGAGTGCTGCTTGTTTTGATGGGGACAGGCTCTCTGACTAAGTTCTCCAAGTTCTCACTGATCCTAGAACACCATGTCTTCCATCCCAGGTACCCCAAACTGGCAGCAAAACACCGAGAATCCAACACAGCTGGTATCGACATCTTCTCCAAGTTCTCTGCCTACATCAAAAACACAAAGCAGCAAGACAACGCTGGTGAGTGACTCCCTTCCATCGTGAGTCCCTGGCAGTGCTATCCACTATCCAGGGCACCTTCAGTTTGCCCATGGGCACGTCAGATACTCAGGTCAAAGAGGCCCCTAGAGTCAAAGCTACTTGTTATTTGCTGAACTTATGATGGGGGCGGAGGGGGGCAGTGCAGGGCAGTGGTTCTAGCTCTTTCTTTTTGGCTAGTACAGAAGAAAAGGGTATGGGTCTTTCTGCTGAACTGGAGGGACAGATTAATTTGGGTTGTGAGTCTGTCTTGTTGCCTAAGGTCCTGCTTCAGTTGTACTCCTGTCTACTGGTCCCAAATGCACAACCCTCCCTGTGTTTGCAGGGCGCCCTGATGGGAAACAACCCAACTCAACTCCTTCTCAGTCCCTGAGAGTCTTGTAGGGGGTCAGCCGTTGGCGGGAGTATGCGGTCCCCAAAGTGAATGCTTGAGGGAGACCCCCGCATCCGCCTTCTCCCTACGGCAGGCAGAGAGGGTGCTGGAACAGCCACTCTCCAAACCTGGCTCTTCCTGCTCTAGCCCTTAGTTTCTGGCATTGATCACAGGCTCAGGATTTGGTTATCCCCAGATACCTTCTCAGAGGGGTTTGCATTAAACCCTTTACATTCACAGAGCTTTTAGTATCTCATTTGGCATTGTCCTTTGAGAGTTCACTGAAACAATTTGAACAGATCTGTTCAGTTGATCGTGGCAAGCACTTAGAGATGGTGTTAGGCCCTAGATGGAAAAGGAGGGAGGATGAGAGAGTTTACTCGACCTTTTATTGAGAGACTTACACTAATTTACAAACTGAAATCTGAAGTCCAGCAAAAGCAAGCAGAGTAAGTGCTTTATGAAACCTCAGGAGTGAACAAGTGAATGAGTGAACATCAGACAGTCATACAACAGACCAGCTCAAGATGGTACATTCCAGAGTCACCTAATGGTCAGAAGAGAAGGGCTGCTGTACAGGAGAGGTGAAGGAGAAATTTTGACAGGAACATACTCTATGCAGTGGGGACTACATAATTCAGAAATCCTTGCTGAGGACCTGGATGATGCCAGGCACAGAAGTAGATTCTAGGAAAAAAACTCCCCCAGCCTGTAAGAGCTGGCTGATCTAGAAAACAAAAACAAAAACAAAAACTTAGATTCACAACAAGTCCAAGAACAAGATATGAGAGCAAATGACCACTTGATCAAAGGGAATCAGAAATGCTGCTTAACTGCCATGTGAAAGGGCAAAGCAGGTGTTCCATGTGGGAAGCATTTACCTCCAGGCACTTTGATAAAGCTTCTGTAAGGACTTTCATTGGAGTCATAAAGTTTGGGGGGGG